CAAGCATATCTTCAAAATGATCTAAAAGTCAGTTTGAATTCAGGATCTTAGACCCTTGAGTGCCAGGCCACAGCATGGCACTGTGGGGAGAACCTGCCCCAAGGCCCTGGCTCCTTCCTTTTTCTTCCCACCTCTGACACCATCCAACATCATAATGGGCCTCACACTCATGCACGTGGACACCTCAGCCTGAACATCCAAGTTCTGTTCACACAGGCACCCTCGGAGCTAGAAGTGTGCACACTTGAGGCACAGCCTACACAAAAGAGAATAAATCCACAGATGGGACCTACAGGGACCCTGGAAAGGGGCTCAGGGACCATTTAAACAGACTGCTGGGATCTTGGGTACCCAGAGAGTGGTCTGGGGGGAGTGGTTTCCAGGAGGTGTCCTCTTAGCCCCACAGATTTCTCCCCCATTGGGATGGTTAATGCTGGAGGAGACCTGAGGCAGGGATCCTTCTTGCCCACAGCTAAGGTGGCACAGTTGGCGGAGGCCAGAACCAAACCTACTGTGTCATCTCAGCAATGATACTACCTGTCAGAACATTTAAAGAAACCCATCCGTCATGCTTCCAAACACACCACTGCCTTCCCAAGTGTTGGCTCTTCATCACCTCCTCTACTTTCATCTGTCCTAGATCAGCCCCAAACAGGCTTCTGGGGGCCCCTCTTCATTCCGAGTCACCCCAAAGCCAAAGCTCCAAGCCCCCTCCAAAGCTCTTTGTTGCAAGTATGTCCTCCCTTCCCTGTGACCCCTCGTTTTTTGCACCTAGGGAGAAGCAATTTGCATATTCAGCAAGGGTTTCCTGATCGAACTTGGGCATTAAGGGATTGACCAGGGTGATTGGTGAGGTTTCCTTAATGAGAAAACCAAACAGAATTGATTCCCTACCTGTCAAGAGCACTAAAAAAAAAAAAAAAAAAAAAAAAACCCTGAAAGTTCAGGGCCAAGTTTGAGGATGTGCAGAAAGGTGTGTGTTTTTTCTTGTCATTTGCGACTCTAATGATGGACTCACGTTGCCCGCTCTTCCCTTTCTCTTACACCTTACCTACCTACTAAAGGAGGAGTTCTTGCTTGGTAAGTGGATATAATCCGCAAAGACATGAGAGAATTTATTAGAAGCCACTCCAGAGCCTTAGCTACCTTCTACAAGGGGAAAAGGACACACACAAATATCTGTAGAGACCTTTTTTTTCATTTGTTTTCAGTCAGACTATTTGACTTCAATTTTTTTTTTTGCCCCTCTTTCTTTTCCCCTTTAGTTGAAAACTGCTAAAATGCCAGTTTGTGACCCTGACCTTATATTTTTTTAAAAAACAAAAACTCTCATCTTTATTTCATTTCTTTTCCCCATGTGATATTTGTTTAGGGTTCTATTCAGGCAACTATATTCACAATTGTTAAATTAATTGAGGATTTGGTTGAAGTTTAAAATTTTGGCTTTATCTCCTTTTTCTTTTTTTTTTTTTCACTTTCCAAGATATATTTTTTTAGGCCCATAGCCCCATTATTTTTTCCCTTCCCCTTCCTTTATTTTAATTATTGTTTTAGGTTGAGTTAAGGGTGTTTACACCCCTTTCTATTGAGTTGTCTCTTTTGTTTAATTCATTAGAAATTAAATTTTGTATAATTTCCTTTTTCTTTTGTTTAATCTGGATCGCATGCTTTTTCTTTGCATGATACCTAAATCTTCCAGTTATCCTAGCAGGGGGTAAAAAAAAAAAAACTCCTTTCTGTGATATTCTTTCAGGAATTTGTGCTTTTGTTTTTGGGCGTCTCTTCTTTCTTCTCCTCTCTCTCTCTCTCTTTCCTTTTGTTACAGTGCATCATGACGGTAAACATTTCTTGGTTATTTAGACACAGCCCATGGGTCCAGCACTCAGCAATGTCCAATGGGTCTTTTTGCTTTCAGATCACTGGGTCGGGGTCTGCTGCTGACCTCTTTACCAAAACAGCCAGCCCGCTCACCACCTCCCGAGGACGCTCCCAGGAGTATGACTCAGGCAACGACACGTCCTCGCCACCCTCCACGCAAACCAGCTCAGCCAGGTCTCGGGGCCAAGAGAAGGGGAGCCCCAGTGGGGGCCTAAGCAAGAGCCGGGAGCTCAACAGCGGCAACACCTCCGATTCAGGGAACTCTTTCACCACCTCCTCACCCCAGAACAAGGGGGCCATTTTGGAGAATCTCTCCCCCACCAGCAGGGGCAGGGAGACAAGGTCAGTGCAACTGGTGGGGGGCAGGAGGGGTCCACCTTAGGTCCCCTTTCTCACTCTCATCCCAGCACCACCACCCACCCCCTGAAGGCCTTTATTTCTGAGAGAAAGAAAACTCAACTTAAACTGGCTTAATTTTTTTTTTTAATCCAGGAGTACTAACTTCAGGTACAGCTGGATCCAGGGGCTGAAAAATATGTCATTGGGAATCTGTCTTTCCCATTACATCTCTCAGCTCTTCTTCCCCCCTCTTCCCCTGAAGGCCTTTATTTCTGAGAGAAAGAAAACTCAACTTAAACTGGCTTAATTTTTTTTTTAATCCAGGAGTACTAACTTCAGGTACAGCTGGATCCAGGGGCTCAAAAATATGTCATTGGGAATCTGTCTTTCCCATTACATCTCTCAGCTCTTCTTCCCCCCTCTACTGGTCTCACTCTCAGGCAGACCGTCCCAAAGCATTGGCAGATATGCCAAAGTTACCATTTCCATCAGTTTAGCCAATGGAAGAAGAATGCCTCTTTCCCAAATATTTTGGCAAAATACTAGGGCAGGTACTCATTGGCTCTATTTGGCCCATACCAATCACTCTGGCCCAGTGGACGCTGTGCTCTTGGCCAGAATGTGTCATATGCAACCATCAGGGTAATGAGTAGAGTCTTCCCACATTCTTCTGCAGGAAAAGCCAGTGTATTGCAATCAGAAGGGATAGAGGCTGGGTAAGCAAAAACAGATGTCAGTTTTACCAATAATCTCGGGATAAAGTCTAACGTTAAGTTCCTTGTAAGTCACTGTCATTTAAAAATAAACCACACTATTTACCCAAATGAATTGAAAACTTATATCCACACAAAAACTGCACGTGGATGTTTATACGTGCTTTATTCAGAATTGCCAAAACTTGGAAGCAACCAAGATGTCCTTTAGTAGGTGAGTGGATAAATAAACTGTGGTACATTCAGACAATGGAATATTATTCAGTGCTAAAAAGAAGTGAGCTACTAAGCCATGAAAAGACATAGAGGAACCTTAAATGCATATTACTAGATGAAAGAAACCAATCTGAAAAGGCTACCTACTGTATGATTGCAACTATATGACATTCTGAAAAATGGCAAAACTATGAAGAAAGTTCAAAGATCAGCTGTTACCAGAGGTTGGGAGGGGAGAGGGATAAATAGGCAGAGTACAGAGGATTTTTAGGGCAATGAAAGTATTCTGCATGTTACAACACTGATGGACACATGTCATTATATATTTGTCCAAATCCATAGAATGTGCAACACCAAGAGCGAACTCTAATGTTTATTATAGACTTTGGGTGATGATGTGTCGATGTAGTTTCATTGATTGTAACAAAAGTACCTCTGGTATGGGATATTGGTCATGGAGAAGGCTGTGAGTGCAGAGGGTATATGGGAAGTCCCTGTAATTTCCACTCTGTTCTGCTATAAAACTAAAACTGCACTGCAAAATAAAGTTTATTATTATTTTGAAGATACTTCAAAAAGTTCATGGAAAAATAGAATTGAAAGATAATACAAATCTCTCTATGAACTTTTAAAAGTACCCTCATGTATATACATGTGATACATATATATGTATATGTATATCACAGTATAATTTTAGGCAAAGGGAGATCAAGCTATCATAGAACATTGAGACTTCTCAACTTTTTTGCCAATCCTAATACACTTGCTAGATGCCGTTTTCCTGCAGAAAACACTTCCATCCAGTTGCTCATGAGCCAGTTATAATTCATCTACATCATCACCGCCTTACTCTCTCACTCAAGAAATCACAGCAAAATGCTAATCGCTGAGGCTACTGTTGCAATAATAGCTACTAAAATTTACTGATCATTTAGTCTGTACCACTCATTCAGTCATTTATCCCTCAACTTGTTATCAGGCACCTTCTATATGCCAGACACTCGGCTTGGTGGCTTGATGCTGGGGATATAAAAATGGTATGGTCCTTTTCCTCAGGAGCTTATAATTAATGGGGCAGTTGCACAGATGCAGGAGGGCTGGGAAAGCTTTGCTGGCACAATCTACCATGCTAACAGTGGGCTCTTCCTTCTTCTGGGGGTGGGAGTCTGCCTTTGTTTAAAGTGGCCAAGATTTCCAAAAGACAACGAAAGGCTTAGCACTGAAGCAGTTAATAGCTTCCTCAAGGACAGAGCCCTTTGTCCCCACTTCAGTCCTGGACAAACAGCTTGGCATCACGCATAGACCTGGCCTCTGGTTTGCCTGCCCCAGGACATCCCTGGCCTCAGCTTACACCCAAGCTTGGCGGGGATCCAGAGCTAGATCAGTGTAAATATCAATGTCTCCAAGAACAGGCAGTGAAGTTCCCATGAGAGAGAGAGGATATGTGTCTACTGACAAACTGCAGTGCTATTATGTAGGAAAAACTGAGAATAGCAATAACAACAACAACCACAATAATAATAATGGCAGCTAATATTCACTCAGCCCTAATTATATGCTAGGTACTGTGCTGAGTGCTTTCCATGAATAATCTTCCATAGTTCCTCATGTAATCTTTATGGGATAGCTACTATTGTTAAATCCTTTTTTATCTGATGGGGAAACTGAGGCTCACCATGGTTGAGAAACTCAGGTAATAAATGGCAGCACCAGTATTCAAATACTGATTTGTCTCCAGAGCTGAGCTAACACCTGAGAGAGATCTAGTAGTCACCTGCTTAATTTGATCTATGTAGACAGCCAAATTAAATAATTTAAACCCATCCTTTCACTTTAATATATAAATGATGGTTAAATCCCTAGCTATTTACGTCATGCCAGCTATGAGCAAAGGGCTCAATAAATATGGGATGAGTGGAAGAGACAGCAGCTCTAAACCGGGTGAACCATAGGCACTAAAGGTAGGGAACTGGTGAGGTGGCAGAGGCAGGGGCTTTGGAGCTAGACAGATCAGGGTTTGGGACTCCGGGTGGCCTTTGGGACTCTAGGTTACAGTTGCCTGCCCAAGGCCTTGAACAGGTAACTAACTCTTCTGAGTCTACTGTGTAAATTGAGGATAATAATAGTGCCAACTCCATATGGTTGTTGGGAAGACTAAATGAAATGATGCTTTTGAAGTACCCAGGACACTGAAGAGTCTTGAAATATTCATTCCACAGCTATTTATTGATGACCTAGGATATATGTACCAAGCTCTGTGCCAGGTACTGGGATACAGTGTCCAGAGAGACATGACTCCTGTCCCTAAGGAGTTCAATGTCTAGGGCAGGAAGAGACCACCTACCATTATAAGACTGAATTATATAGGGATGGGGGAAACAGGGGCTAGAGTCTGTGGTAACACATTGGAAATCACCCAACCCAGACTGGGGGATGGGGGTAGGAAGGCTTCCCAGCAAAGGTGAGGTCAACCATGAACCATGAGTAGGAGTTGCCAGGTGAAGAGAGAAGAGGATTGCAGACAGCCAGAATGTTCTAAGGCCTAGAGACAAGGGAGAGAATAGGGATATTCCAGGAGGAACAAGTAGTCTACTATGGCTGAAGTCAAGAGCTGAGATTGCAGTAAGCAGGGGCTGGGCCATGATGAGCCTTGAAAACCATATTAATGTGACTTGAACTTGAATCTTGGCACAATCCTAATGAATGCATCTTTACTAAGAACCCACCAGGAGTCTAATGTGGCCCTAGGCAGGGTGAGGAATACGGAAGATAGGACCCTGTCCTTTCAGTGATTCTGAAAAAGCCTCTACCCTCTTTGGGGTCTCAATTCCCCCATCTGCAAAATGAGCTACACCAAAATTTCTCAAACTTAAACCTGCTACATGTCACCTTCTTGATTTTTACCATATTCATGTATTATTAGTACTCTTATTTTCTTTAATAAACTCATTTCTTTATGTAAGTAAACTTAAAGGAAACTTACAGTACTTTCTGAAATAGAAAACTAGTATAACTTGTCCTAGACAGAAGGCACTTCTAAAAATACATATGACTAAAACAATGTGTTTAATTCTAGCTAGTTACAGTTGCCTGCCCAAGGCTCTGAGCCCTAGGCCTGCTCCTCTCTCTTTGGGAGATTACAAAGTGTTAGAGAGGTGTTAAAAACCTATTAGCACCCACCTGGCTTTCTCATTTATGTAATCACATGGACTGAAAGTCTGGTAAGGGAATAAATCTCTCACCTTGTGAGTTGATGTTATTATTTAGCATCATGTGCATGCCAACTTCCTAAATTACTCTGAAGTGGCCCCGTGTGGTATGTGTCCCACACTTAGGGGATGCTGAACTAGATTGTCTACTTTTAAGGTCTCTTCTATCTCTGCTCCTCTAACATCTGTGGCCTGGGACGTCTTTCCAGAGGTAGTAGGATGGGAAAAGGTGGAAGGAGGGTTCTGTGAGAACACCACTGCCTAGGCAAAGTTATGGAGGTGAGTATTAGCTCAAAATGCCCCCAAACTAGCAGGCAGTCCAGTGCTAACAGATGTTCTTCCTCCTGCAGAGGATTTCAATCACCATGTCTGGAATGCACCGAGGTGAAGAAGTCCAGTTTGGGCCCATCCACAACCCGGAGCTCCCCCATGAAAGGGTGCTCCCGAAGCTCCTCCAATGCCAGCACTCACTCCTCCAGCCGCTCTTACCGATCTCCAAATCCCAGGACCTCCCCCAGGTACACCCGGAGCCGATCCACCTCCTCTGAAAAAAGGTGAATGCAGTTTTGACCTTTATTCTGCAGCACTTTCCTCCTTAGGGAGTCGGTTAAGGTAACTGGAGATGTCTTTTGACTCATGGGGGAGAGAAACCAGACAGACTTTAGTCTGAATACTCATTTTACCCATTACTAGCTGATGGCCTAGGGAAAGTTGGTTAACCTCTCTCAGCCTTGTCTGCAAAGTTTCATCATCTGCAAAATTATAACTATAATTACCCTAAAGAATTGTCCTGAGGACTATAAAGCACTTAAGGCAGTACTTGGGACATAATAAATATCAGTTATTATTATTGCTGTTGACATGAAGATGAGCTAATGTGTATCAATTAGCTTCTGCAGCATAAAAAATTACCCCCAAATTTAACATCCTTAAACAAAAAGTGTTTACTTAGTTTCTGATTCTGAGGACCAGCAATTTGGGCTGGGCTCAGCTGGGTGGTTTTTCTGATCTTGTTGGGCTCACTCTGATCTTGATGTGTCTTTGATCAGCTGGTGGGTTGGCTGGGGGCTGGAGGTTTGAATGACCCCAGCTGATTCATCTCTGCTCCGTGTGGTCTCTCATCCTCCAGCAGGCATGTCTGGGCTTGGTCACATGGTGATGGCAGGGTTCTGAGAGAGAGAGAGCAGTAGTGTGCAAGGCTTCTTGAGGCCTAGGCTTAGAACTGACATGGCATCTCTTCTGCTGTGCTATTAGTTATAACAAGTCACAAGACCAATCCAGATGTGAGTATGTTCCTCTTAGTGGGAGGAGCTGCAAAGTCACATTGCAAGGGGTATGGATACAAGGAGGGGAAGAATTGTGGCCATTTTTGCATTCTACCACCCAATTCCAATAATCATTGGCAATTGCTTGCTGATCTCATCTGGAGTAATGATGTAGTAGCATGTACAGACATGAGATCTCAGGAATTGTAATATTCCATCCAATCTAATAAACCCATGGCTTTTTGGAGTCCAGCTTCCCTCTACAAACAGAAATCCCCAGCAGTCTGACTATTCCTCTTTTGCAGCTGAATAATCAAAAAGCAGTTGCTTACTCAGTTGGTTATTTCAAGATCAGTTCATTCCAAAAAAAGGAGGCAAGGCAACTGACAAAAATAGTCAACATGATAGAGTGACATAAATAGAAGAGCAAATCAGGCTAAAAGGAAAATTAAAGAGAGACAAGCAAAATTAAGTCAGGAGAAAGGTTAAGTTCCAAAAGGCATGTCATACCTGTATAGCTGTGATGGAGGTGGCTGCAAATGTGACCTCTGAGATCCCTGCCAGACAAAGCAAAGAGGGAAATTGCTCTATTAATTGTTAAATGTAACAATTGAATTAAGAATTGAACCAGTTACTTGGAAGATCAGCTATTTCTGATCTTTAAGTCTATGAAAAACTGATTCATATGGCTCCACAGAAAAGGAACACTATATGGTGTAGTGGATGGAAATGCCTGACAATATCCTTTCAAAGTGTTCAAAAACATGTTTTATTTCAACTCTTTCTCATATCTCTCAATGCACAGCCAAAGAGCGTGTTGGCAAAGGCAAGTTTTCCAGGGGCCATGGCTGGACACTGTCCCAAGGCACTGAGATTGGAGGAGCTATTCCTTCCCTGCAATGTTCTCTAAAAGTGGGAGGCATTAGCAGAGAGGGAAGAAGACTGGAGGTAGTATAGGGGTTAGTAACTTGTATGCATGACAATATAATCTACAGAAGTTAAGAGTACTTTGCAGCCAAACAGACCTGGGTTCAAGTTGCTCTAGAAGCAAACAGACCTGGGTTCAAATCCCTTACCATCTGTGTGACCTTGAGCAAATTACTGTGCCTCTGTTTCCCCATCTATAAAATGGGATTGGTAATAGTACCTAACCCTAGAATGTGTTGAGAATTAAATGAGATAATTCACACAAAGCATTTGTTTAATGTCTAGCACATAATTAAATACATAATAGTAATAGCTAACATTTCCTGTGTGCTGGCTAATTGGCACTTAGCGTATGTGCCAATATGCTAAGTGATTTATCCTAATTTACTCATTTAATTTACAACTTTATAGGGTAAGTATTATAATTACCCTCATTTTACCAATAAGAAAACAGACCCAGAGAAGCAAAATCACCTGCCCAATGTCACACAGCTAATAAGTGGCCAGGATAGGAAGTACTCAATAAGAAGGAATTGTCAATATTATTAACCACCCAAAGAAGAGAGGATTTCATTCTCTGGTAAGTGCGGGGTTCCTCCAGCTGGTCTCCATAAAGAAAAAGGTCGCCTCCTGGGGACCAGGCGAATGAAGCGGTAGACGTCCTGGATAACTCAGGCGGACGCTCAGCGGTTCCTCAGGGGCTGTTACCTCTCCCCCAGGTCCTACTCCCGCTCTCCCAGCTATTCCTCCAAGTCTGGCAAGAGGAGCCCGCCTAGCAGAAGCTCTCGATCCCGCCGCAGCCCCAGCTACTCCCGCTACAGCCCCAGCAGGTACCAACCCCGCCCTGACACTAGGCCCCGCCCTCAGTCCCCACCCCTTTGCTCTGATGCTCCTCTGTGGCCCCGCCTCCCGCCCCGCCCCTCCGGACTTTTCTGCTCAGAGATGCGGACCTGACTCAGCATTCCTGTCGTTTCCTTCGTCCAATCAATAGTGCAACGAGGCCCCAAATATACCCTTGTGTCCTAATGTCTCCACCCCAAACACTCCCACAGCCACACCCCAGAATTCACATCCCCAGCCCCCAGCCTCCTCGCCACCTAATCTCTTTATGCCGAGCCTCCAATTCTTACCCACGCACCAGGCTCACCCCTGCAGCACGCCCACCGCAAAGGCTGACACCCCTGCACACGCCCAGCCCCCACTCCCACGCTACTCACCCACACAGACTCTTCCCATAGCCCCGTCATCTCCCCTCCCGCCTTTCCTGCGGCAGGTGCAGACCCCATCCCCTGTCCCGGTGGGGCGGAGGAGACGGTGAAGAGAGGAAGTGAGTGCCCCTCTCCCACACGCTCACACAGAAAAGTCAGCCCAGCCCCAGCTCTCCAGTAACCCCCGCACCCCTTCAGGGAGCGGGACCCCAAGTACAATGAGAAGGACTCGCAGCAGCGGGAGCGCGAGCGAGCGCGTCGGAGACGTCGGTCCTACTCGCCCATGAGGAAGCGCCGGAGAGACTCCCCGAGCCACCTGGAGGCCCGGAGGATAACAAGGTGAGGCCAGGACGGCGGGAGATACCGACCTTCACCCTCGTTCCCACTCCCATTTCCAGCCCTTCGGGCCTCAGGCTCTGCCCACGCCTCCTTGGGGCTGGGGTTTCAGCCCTTTGGGAATTCAGGGACCCCCTCTGCTCCCAACCACGGAAATTTTGTTTCTGTTCAAAGCCCGAGGCGGGCTGTGGAGGAGGGTTGTCGCTGGGTGATCTCCCCCGCCCAACCTGCGGGGTCCTGCAGAGCGGGGCGCGGCCGGGGCGGGGCCTAGGAAGGGGTGGGGCGGGGCTAGAGTGGGGCAGCTGAGAAAGGGGCGGGGCCAGTCAGGAATTGAGTGTGGCTTAGGAGGTATAGCCTGAGTCTGGGGTTGGAGCAGAGAGCAGGGTCAGGCCCAGGAATGGGGGCCAAAGCAATGGAGCGGTGTTTTGGCCTGGTGATGGAGCTGGAGCAGTGGAGACAGCCCTTCATCCACAGACCCAAATACCTACATGCCAGGCTTAGATAGACCTATTTGTAATTATCCCCTGAACCAAGTGTGGAGAGGGCAAACAGGATTACTTAGATGTCTAAGGACTTAGAGGGAGCCACGGTGAGTAAGGAGGAGAAGGCAGTGGTGTAGGAATCCCTTACAAGTTGAGGCAGGGTGCTCTGTGGGATATTTGAGAAGTATACATCATCATCTTGGTCTTACTGTCTGGGACACACGTTCCTTTTCCTCCCCCAGGTCATCTCCAGGGAGCACATACTCCAGCCAGGACCCCTATTCCCCTGTAGGTCTCTGGACTGAGTGGCTGATGCTTGTAGGGCCAGAAAGAGAGCCCATCCCAATTTTACGGCAGCATTCAGCTATTCTCCCAGCTTTCAAGACCTGAGAAATTTGGTTCTACTCAGACATCAGGCCTCTCTGCTAGAGCTTTTCTCTTCTGAGACCTTCCCTGTTACAGGAAACTTTACCCACCTTTTCTGACAATTCATTCTATAACAATGGCACATTTTGCATTTAAGTTGACAAAGCACGTCACATCTGTTTTTCCACTTTCATTTCATCCTCATGATACTCCTGGGAGTTATTTCCCCTGGTATTTCATGGGTGAGAAAACTGAGGCTTGGAGAGGTGAAGAGACTTTCCCAGGTCACCTGGAAAGTGGCACAGCCAGGATTGAACTCCAAATTCAGTGCTGTGTCCTTTACCCTCCATGGCTTCCTCTAAATCTCTTTGGCTCCTAAATGTCCTTCGGGTCAACTTGGAGGAAGGCTGAGATAAGGAAAATGGCATTTCCAAAAGGCTGTCTGGTTTCCTTAGTCAACTCCAAATAATCTATCTCGATTAACCCATTCAGTGCTTCCCAGACTTTAGTTATCCAGCAGCATCTTTACAATTTTAGTCTTGTCTGCTTATTAACTGTACTATGGTTAACTTTCTTTAAATAGACATGCCCTTTTTTAGAGGTGCATACATTTATTTCAAAAGGAAAGTTGATATAGTACAGTAAATGGAAAGTCAGCCTCTCCTGCCATAAATAGAAAGTTCTAATAAAAATAAAAATAGCAAAACAAAACTACGATTAAAGTTTAGATGTAGATTCTGTTGCCAGCTGAAGGCTGAGCCCCAGGCTTGCTTTGTTAAAATAGTGAGATTACCACTTTTCAAGAACTATTAGCACTAAACTGAGACTTCCTCTTTGATGTTCTCAGGGCTGCAAGAGAAGTGGAAAGGGAGTATTTTTTTTTTTCCCTAAAGGACTGGGAAATGAAGGGATACTCCTTTCCCTTGGGACAAGACTGGGTCTCGCTGGGGTGAGGCTGGGAGGAATCTGGCCCTCATGCATCCTCCCTCTGGTCTCTGCAGTGCTCGGAAACGCCCCATCCCCTACTATCGGCCCAGCCCCTCTTCGTCCAGCAGCCTCAGCAGCACCTCTTCCTGGTACAGCAGCAGCAGCAGCCGCTCAGTGACCCGCAGCTACTCCAGGAGCCGGAGTCGCAGCCGGAGCCAGAGCAGGACCCGCACTAGCAGCAGCTCCAGCTCTCGCAGCCCCAGCCTGGGCTCCCGGAGCCGGAGTCATAGCCGGAGCCGGAGCTATAGCTCAGCAGACAGCTACTCCAGCACGAGGCGCTAAGCAAGGGCCTTCCCTTGAGCCAGCTGCCCGTGGGGGCCCCTTTCTCTCTGCCAGCCTCCCCCACTACCTGCCCTCCCTGCCTTCTCCTTGGTGACAGATATTGAGGGCTCCTGGACCCTGTCCTTCCTGCTTTCCTGGGTAGGAAGAAAAGAGGGTACGGGGGCTTTACCCTCTGTGTCAAGCTGCTATGAGCCTCCACCAGCACCATCCTGGGGCTCAACTGAGGCCTGGGCATATGAAGAGAAACATCCTCTTTGGCACAAAAAACCTCAAGGTTTTGTAAGAAGCAGTGGGTTCACAACTCAAAAATGTGGGCCTGGCTAGGAAAGTGTGGGAACAGTTTTGCTCACCCGCTGCTCAAAGGATGCATGTAGAAAGCCAGTGGTAATTCATCCCACCTGCCCTCATTCTCCCCTCGGTCAACCTCATGGCTGCACGTCTGTGGACCCCCATATGGGGGATAGGTGAGAAAGGAGACCAAGGGCAAGCCAAAGGCAGTTCAGGTCCAAGATAAGGGGTCAGGCCTTTAACCTCCCCAAATGGCTAGAGCAAGGGCTCGAAGACTCTTGAGCCCTAGAAGAGGGGACATACATATACGTGGGCAGGGGACATGGACATTTGAGTTAGTGATAGGTATCAGGAGATAGGAGATGGGCCCTCTATGAGTATAGAAGCAGAAAGAAAGGCTCAGTCCACTGCTCCAATGTCTCTGCATGGTCAGGGGAAGGAACCCAGCAGCTTCCAGCTATGAAGAGGCCACCACATGGCTTACACAAAACATCCCTTGTTATGAGTATAGAAGCAGAAAGAAAGGCTCAGTCCACTGCTCCAATGTCTCTGCATGGTCAGGGGGAGGAACCCAGCAGCTTCCAGCTATGAAGAGGCCACCACATGGCTTACACAAAACATCCCTTGGCTGTTCAGAGGGGCCCTGCAGTCCCACAGGAAGGAGGACAGTGAGGACAATCAGGACAGCTTGGTCTACAGCCCCACTTCCCAAATTTGCTTCAGCTGCACTAGCTGGCACCAACTTAATTCCACGGGACCATCTGCTGAACATTCCCCAGTGCCATGGCCAGCTGCCAGTCTCCAGCGCCAGCCAGTCTGGCCTTACCCTCATGTTGGCGCCTGCCCGCCCCTTCCCCACAGCCCAGACTGCCACACCCTGGATCCCCCCCAGTGCAGCCTGGCACCTACCCTCTTACCCTTCAGCCTAAGCCTCTTGCCTCTCAGGAATTTTGCCAGGATGAGGCACCATGGCTCAGGTTGGGAGGAAAGACCCAAATCCAGACAGTCCAGGGACGTGCTTAGATGCTCCCACTGGCTTCTGAGGTTTCTTGTCAGTTGGGGAAAGCCCACCTTCATTTCTGCCCTCACCCCAGCTTCTCCCTGCCCAGAGCTGAGCAGTGAGGGTAAGCTGATCTCCAGCACACAAATACCACCAGCTGCTTCATCCGCAGAAGGCGCTGAGAACAGGGAGGTGAAGGAGAAGATCCTTAAAATAAACTGTCGGGCATCCCCCTCACCAGCTGACTGGCTTTCCGGAGCCTCGTGGGTAAGTTTTAGGTTTGTGTTAACAACAACAGCAGGACAGGGCATGAAGGGAAAGAGGGACAGAGGACAGCCCCCGGCTTTGGCTACTGGAGCTACTGGGAAGCGGAACCACACATTCTTTATCCTTCCCACCCCAGGGAAAACATTTGGAAAACATCCTTTTTCTTGGAAGCAGTGACCTCTCCACCATTCAGTCTTTCCCATCACATCAGCCCATGGGGCCAGATACTGACAGGAAACCACTCTGAAAGTCCTTCTTGCATCAGGAGAGAGGAAAGAGGCAGCCCCAGGCAGCATTGGACAACCTGTCCCAGACCTCAGCCCTGCCCACCAAGACTAATGGACGCCAATGCTGTCACCACAGAAGACCAGATGGCAGATGCCTGAGACAGGGGCAAGTGCCCCGGGAGTGCATGTACAGCAACTGTAAATAACCTTCTTTCCCATTCAGGAACCCAGACTGGACTCCAGTCTCCCTCCATGGAGACAAAGACTTCCCGGGGCCACCAAATGTCCTTAGCAGGACAGCTGTGAGAGGTGCATGAGCTTCCAGTTCAGACTGCCTTCATTCGAACTCCTCTAGGGGACCATTTTGCCTGGGGCTCCTAGCAAACCTTTAATTTATTTTATTTATTTAACTATTTATTTATTTATTTATGTAATGACTTCCCCCCCACCTTGCCATTAGCAGTATTTATTTATTTATACAGAACATGTGTGTGTGTGTGTGTATGCATGCACACACACACTCATTTGGGGAAGGAGGGGTACTTCTAAATTATTTTTGTGCATCTCTCTTTTTCTCTCCTGTCACTATGGATGGGATTGAGAGGCCAGAGGTGGGTGGGGATGTTGGCCTTTTCCCTGAAGGCTCTAAGCCCGAATATAGTGGAGTTGGTCCGGAAGCACTGATGTGCTGTGATGTCCCAAAGTTCATTGCTCAGCCTAAAGTCAGCAAGGTTCAGACCTGTGCTCCAGACCCTGCCCACCAGCTATGTCACTGAGGTATCAGAAAGATGAAAACAGCTAAGAAGCTTGTGGGTTAAGGCACTAAATTGTCACAGTGCAGTCTCAGGTTATGTGGGGATCAGAGTCTAAAGTTAGCATGTAAGGTAAAAGCTGCGCCAAGTCAAAATTCCTCATGGAAGTCCCTAAGGGAAGCACCCAACTGAAGACAGATATGCTGTCTCTCAGCAGACTGATGAGGCTTTGGTTGAGTACTTACTGAGATAGTTGCCTTGTGTTTTGGGGGCCATGGTGGATGAAAACCGCATCTGGTTTAGTAGTGGGATTGTACTTGGCATTGACAAGGGGCTCACCACAGGAGTGAGGCACCAGTTGAGCCTACTGAGGGAAGAGAAGATGCACATCTTGATCTCACCCTCACTCTGGGACAGGATCACTCAGCTTCTCTGAGCACACCTAGTGGGTTTCATGTAAGTTACACATGCTTCCCCTCCACCATACCTAATTTCTCCCCATCCCCTGAGATTTGAAGGCTGCCCTATTCAGACTGTGGTGGACATATACTGCCTTGTGAAAAGGTATCAGCTGTCCTGGGAGAGACTCACAAACCCAAAGCAAAGGACTCTTTCTGAGATCTCTTGCTGTTTCAACAGGAGAGAGCACAAAGCTATTTCTGAAATTAGGAGACAAAAAAAAAAAGAAAAGAAAAGAAAAAAAAAAGATGGGAGGAACAACTAGATGTTCCCCCAAGAAGGTTATTTCCGAGCCCATCCTGGGAACCAAGATCCAGAGACCTCTATCAGTCCTGCCTCTCTGACCAACTGTCAGTGTCTTCTGGCTGCTGGGCCAAGAGGGCTCTTGCCCTTTCCAAAGTCATTATCCACTGCCTTGCAATTGCCAACTTGCCCGGTCCAGCTTTGGGTTTGGTGAGACTTTTGTAATATCCCTGGTTTTTTCCCTGGTAATGTGACTACCCTGTCCTAACCCAAGCAAGAGAGTACCCCTATCCTGGGGATAATTTGCAAGAAGCCTGCTTAAATGCCTAGTGGGGGATTTCTCTCTTCTACTTCTACTTGGTGTGTTTCTCTAATTTCTCTATTTCCCTTTTTCTTTCTTTTTTTTTGGTCCATCCAAAAATAAAACTCTCGTTAGGGTACTGGCAATTGTGATTAACCAGGACTCTCAATCCCTTGTACTGCTGTTCCTACTTCACTCTTTCTACTTTTCACTTCTAGGGAACAAGACATATCACCCAAAACCCACTCACGGTGAGGACTTATCTCAAAAACCAACACGCACAATGGGAGTGGTGTATGGCCTGAGGTCTAACAATATCCAGCCCAAGCCTTTTGACCTTGAACATATCACCCAAAACCCACTCAACGGTGAGGACTTATCTCAAAAACCAACACACACAATGGGAGTGGTGTATGGCCTGAGGTCTAACAATATCCAGCCCAAGCCTTTTGACCTTGCCACTGTGGATATGCACTGGATGAGTGAAACCGGGCAAATTGCCCCTTCCCTCTGGGCCAGAGTTCCCACCTCTGTGCAATGGAGGAGTTTTTGAGATACAATCAAAAATATTGACCTGAGGCCTGGAAGAGTCACCAAAGACAGAGTGAGCTTCACCAAGAGAGGGAAAAGGAACATTTTTAGGAGGTTCTCAATCATGAGAACAAAAACTAAAAGCAAGATTTGAATCCCCTTCAGTAAGTTAGGAAAAGCTAACAAACTCAAAGCCCCTATCAAGGAACTTTCTAGTTCATCAAGGTTTGACAGTGTACCTATCTCTGTTTCTTCCCTTTGAAGAGAGTCAATCTTTCAAAAGCAGCATATATTAAGATGTTGGAAGAGACACAAGGGTCTCAGTCTCAGAAAGCCCCCATCACTTTATTTGCTCAGATCCATCCTATTTCTCAAAGGGCTTTGCTTAAAGAGGCCAAAATTCAGAGTGCTCCAAAAAGTACAGAAAGCAAAATTTTTCTTTCTCAATTCCAGCTTCCATCATTTTTTCTTCTGCATTCTTTTTCCCTCTTCTTTTCAACGAATACTCAAAATAGTCTCATGTGCATGTGTCTGGCCTTGCTTTCCCCTCCAGCTGAATAAAAAATTTTGCCTGATAATAAAACAAAATCAAAACAAGATTCCTCAAAACATGCCCCCTCCCCCATTGGCCCCAGCTAAGAAACTTATGCCAGATACAATGTCACGAGCAATGCTTTGTTGCAACCTCTTCTTCTGCACTAATGAGCCAATGATAATGACACAGTTGTCATCTCCCCTCTGTCTGTGGTTATTGTCTTTGTTATTGTTTTTGGTTTTGGTTTTGGTTTTTTTGGGTTTTTTTAAAGTTTTTTTTGGTGGTGGTTATTTTGCATTGTAAATACCATGATGGGGGCCCCTCCTCAGAACATGTCTTATTTAATAATTTATTTTCTATTTACTGGATGGTACTTGGAAAGGAGAGGGACCACCTCTTCCCCTGAATTGCTATTGGAAATCGATCCACCTCCCCGCTCTGGGTGCTGCTGTCTGTAGTAGGGGCATTACTGCCCAGGTAATGCGTGCTAGAATCACTGAGCAAATTGGAATTGGCAGAAACAGAGGCTTCTGTCATACAAATTAAGCTCAAATGGAACTAAAACACTGGTTGTCTCTGGGAAGACCTCATTTAGATGGAAATTAATTGAGGAATAAAATGCCTGTGCATGAACCAACTTCTATTAAAAAGTCACAACTCTTTGAAAAAAAAAAGAGAGAGAGAGAAAAATAATTAATCTCTTTTCTCTGGCCAAGAAAAGCTATGCCTCATCTTCTAACAAGCTGAGCCAAAGAGACTGGAATGGCCTTCCTTTGTGACTCTCTTGCCAGTGTATTTATTTGTCTGGATGAAATGGAATGGGTCTTGGGCCTCAGTCTTGTCATCTGCAAAATAGGGCTTGGCCCAAGTATTCTTAGCAGAGTAAAGGGAAGGAGTTCTAGTTCTGATGTTGCGCACTCTATACTGTTGGGCTTATGGTCCTTTGTGTCTTCTGCTGACTATAGGTTGAAGAGTGCCAACTAAGGAAGGAAACAGAAAGATAGGGCATGGACTTCATTTGCAGGATACAGTGGCCATAGCTGACTCCCATAGTCAGATATGGGAAACTTCAAGGTGCTGTCACCTTGAAAACTCTTGTAGCCTGTATTAAGCCTTCTGTATTTAGCTTGAACTTCTCTCCAAGCCCAGTAGTCCAGAGTC